CATGAGCATCAGAGCTGGAACATGGAGCAATGGAAGAAGGTGGTCTGATCCGATGAATCATGTTTTCTTTTACATCATGTGGACGGTCGGGTGCGTGTGCATCGCTTACCTGAGGAAAACTTATTGTTTTCATACTCTGCTGTTCGTATTTCATTTTGAATCTCTCTATTTCTCTTTCTCTCTCTGTCTCTCTCTCTCTGTCTCTCTCTCTCTCTCTCTCTCACACACACACACACACAATCATTTCATTCAATATCATACCATCTCTTCATCTTGTTCCCCCTCCATTCCTTTGACTCTTATATTTATCTCTTCTCCATTCCCTTTAGGCCAGAAAATACAAAAGCCAATTTTACCCTGGTGTAACAACTTAGCAGGCACTTTTGATTTCTTGAACCAGGAAAGACATTCAAGAGCAGAGGCTCATGTTAGACAATGAGTTGTAGGGTGCATTTAGTATTCAACAAAGCAGAGCATTTTTCTATGTCACTGACAGTATATTTCTGTGTTGCTGATGACATAATTCTATGCCAAAACCTGCTTTTATTTATTTTGGTTCCATGATGCTGGAAAGAATTGCCCTGTTTCCTGACACCCTTCAAGTAACGCCTGAAGACTCAGCTCTTCTCAGAGCACTTGAATGTCACTGTTGAATGAAAGCCTCCAGCACTCTGCCACTGATTGATGTCCAGCTAGGTGTCCAGTTTGACCAGGCTCTTACCTTTTCAAGTGATTAATTGACCTTGTTCCTGGCCTTTTTATTTATTAGCCTTTTTGTTTATAGTTATTTATAGTTTGCCTGTTGAATTTGTGGCTTGTGTTTATAGAACTGCTAGGTACTCACACTGTCTCTGTGTGAGTGTGTATTTTTAGTTCAGTTATTTATGTTCGTTCTACAACAGATCTATATCTTACACATATTTTTCCTCAGTTGGTTAACATTTAGACTTGTACCACTGTTGTTTCCTTAACATAGGTTCTACCTCACTTACAGTCAGGTCCATAAATATTGGGACATCGACACAATTCTAACATTTTTGGCTCTATACACCACCACAATGGATTTCAAATGAAACGAACAAGATGTTCTGTAACTGCAGACTTTAATTTGAGGGTATTTACATCCAAATCAGGTGAACGGTGTAGGAATTACAGCAGTTTGCATATGTGCCTCCCACTTGTTAAGGGACCAAAAGTAATGGGACAGAATAATAATCATAAATCAAACTTTCACTTTTTTAATACTTGGTTGCAAATCCTTTGCAGTCAATTACAGCCTGAAGTCTG